GTTTTTCACCCTCCTCTGATATTTATATTTTCGTTTTTACCTTTTTTTTCCTTCTTCCATTTTTCTTCTTCCATTTCCACCATTCTTTCTTCCGTTCTTTCTTTCATTCTTTCCACCCTTCTCTTGTTCTTTCTCCCTTTCCTTCTTTCTGTTTATTTCTTTTTTTGTTTTTGTTTTTCATTGTTTGATAATTTATGCGTTCTTTTTTTCTTCCATTTCTCACCCTTCTTTTTTTATTCTTTTCGATCCTTTCTTTCTTTCGTTTATTCTTTGCAGCCTGTTCTTTCTTTCTTTCGTTGTTTGATTCTGTTTGTTTGTTTTGTTTTGTTTTTTCATTCTATAATAATGTATTGCTCCTTTTTTCTTCCATTTCTTTTTTCATTCATTTTCATTTCTTTCTTTCTTTTATTTTTTCCACCGTTCTCTTGTTCTTTCTTTCTTTCTTTCTTTCTTTCTCATTATTTCTTTTTTCTTCCTTCTTTTCCTCTATCTTGGTATTTTTTTCCTATTTACTTGCCATTCTTTCTTCCTTTATATATTTACAGTTTTATTATAACAACATTTTTTTCCATTCGTAATGCCGTCCAGTGAGTTCAAAATCCTCCCACTTTGCCTTCCTCTACTTTTGTTTCTTTAAATTTCAATTATTATTTCTACTCACACGTCTCGCTTCTTTGCTTCTTCACACTAAAATTCCTTTATTTGTATTTTTCCATTTTTCTTCCAAACCTCTTCATCATCATTATTCGAATGTTGGTGACGTGTTCGAAGATTTTTTTGACCTGTTGACATTTACGATGACAGCAGCTACTTGACACTTGCTTTAGATATAAAGGGACATAATGGCGATCATTGGGAGTGACGCCAAGCAAGACAAAAATTGTTTTTATAATTGTTGTTATTGTTTTCTTTGCCTTTGCTTTGTGTAGTACGAGTTTTCCTCAAAGCTCAACCATAGATTTCAAGAGACAACAATTTTTGTTTAATATTTTTCTTGGATCAGAAGATGCAAACAGATGGGGTGCTATGCAATCAGTATGAAAAAAAATTGTAATTGTGTTCATTGCCTGGAGAAAAATCCTCGCAATATGAGATATTTTTGTTTGCGATTCACGTATTCGAAAGCTTTTAGGAATGCGTTCCACATATTTGTTTGTTCCTTTTGATCTCATTCGGAAAGTCCCAATAATAAGTGTTGTCTTTGAGATGCCAAATTCTAGTGATTTCCAACTTAAGGTTCTTGGGTTTACTTAGTTTCTCAAACGTTTCAAAATATCTGTTTTTGTTGGCTGGGAATACAACGTCTGTGTGTTTTCAGTTATTATAAGTTATTAGTTAACGATTTTTCACGTTTGGAGATGCTTTTGTTCTTTCACTAGTGTTGTGGTGGTCTCCTTCTTAAGAGTCTAATGTTAGACTCTTCCGCCTACTACGAAGAGAAGTAGGAGAGAAGACATCGAGGAACAGTGAATAGATTGTTCAACTGTCCATCTCTCTGCCTTGGCAGAGAGGAACTCGGACGAAGCATTGCCGGATGAAAACATTCTTATTGTTCTTCTTCATATATATATATATATATATATATATATATATATATATATATATATATAAGGCTCAAGAACTAATATTCCATGGTTATATTTCTTAAATTGGAATCGTAACCACGATCCTACAAATTCAAAAAGCTTTTTGAAATTGTAGGTCTGATGATTTGGATCATGATTACGATTCCAATGTAATAAATTATAACCATGGAATATTAGTCTTGGAGCCGTTTATATTATATTCTTGCTGTGTCCTGGACCTTGAGCTCTACCTGTATTCTATCCGCTTGGAAATTTATATATATATATATATATATATATATATATATATATATATATATGCTGACCACTAATATTTTCTCTCTCTCTCTCTCTCTCTCTCTATATATAGATAGATAGATAGATAGATAGATAGATAGATAGATAGATAGATAGATAGATAGATAGATAAAGAGAAGTAGTGCTTCGAAAATAACGCGTCCTTTTAAGGCTGGATGAATATTTCAGTAAATATATTTTTGTCATATTCATTATTTGTCCATTCACTGAACATGTTATCTACTGCATGTACACTATATGTTATTAGTATTGGTTACCGATAACTCGAATATAATTTAGTTAATTCAAATATCTCTTTGTGCTGTGTACTATCAAATGCGGTTATGTAATCTATGACACATAGATAGAGGACTTCCCGCCCTCACGTTACTCTCACTGAGAAAAGTCTGATGATAAATATAGCTTGTCATTGTCCTAAGCAAAGAATCACTGTTCTTGCCATACTTCCGGTGTAATTGCACTGAGGACATCAATGGTCAATATAGCTTCTTTCTTTGCTTGTTAATGTTGTCATATTTGATATATTTTTATTATTATTTTTTTTTAATGTCATGTTCCCTCTGGAGGTCGTCGTACCTGACTCCCCGCAGATTTGTTCTTTATTATCGGTGAATTGCCATACATTTTGGAGAAGAATTGTGGAGTTGTTTCCCGTTGACTTTTTCCTTGTTTTCCTTCTCCAATACTCGATGTCAAGCAAGGCTAGAGAGCCTAGTCTACACTATTATGTCATCCTTACCTGGAATCGAGAAGATCCATGCCAATTCCAAAAACATATTTGAGAAAAAAAACCCAAGCGACTAGTCTAGAAATTGAACTCGTTTCGCCGAATCCACATTTCACGACGATCGTTGCATTTCATGCAAAACCCATTTTATATTTCCTTTGTATAAAAATTGCAAGTGTCCACATAGCATCCATTCTTCTGTCTGGCTTCAGAGTGTAATATCTGTTCTTCCTCTCCAGCCGTGTTCTTCTTTCCGTATAAAACCCCGAAAATAATGAGACACATTTGTTTCTGGGGGGGTTCCCAACGCTATTGCAGTACCTCCCTATTACATTAGAAGAAGGAGGTGTTGATATTTTTAATATAGCCGCGGAAAACAGTCAATCTTTATCCCTGTTGACATGTACGCATACGAGTCCACTCGTTAAACTGAGTGTGCATCACTTTCAGCTGCAGTGATGTACCTAAATCAATCAATCACCCAATTGCATATGTCCTGGGTAAGACGATAATCTACATCCGCATCCTGAATAAGACGATAAAATGCATCCGATTCCTGGGTAAACGATAAACTACATCCGCGTCCAGGGTAATACGATATATTACGTCCAGCAGCAAGGCCTCTGATCAGGAGGTTTTGAGGAGCGTGGAACCACCTCTTAATTGCTGGTGTTCCCAGGTCCACCCTGACCCGGGGTGGTAGCACCTCTTAGGGTCCCAGCTATGGGTAAGTGGTTGGCCACCGGGCTGTGGTTGGGACGCTGTGAAAATGTGAAAATGAGTTTTAATAGCAGGAATACTTTGTAAAAAAATTATTACCAGCAATACATTATTACCAGCAATACGTTGTTTTTTTTTAAATTACCAGCGATAAATTTTTTAAGAAAAATATTACCAGAAATAGATTTTTGAAGTGAAAAAATATTACCAGCAATACATTTATGAAGAAAAGTATTACCAGCAATAAAAAATGTTGGCATTAAATAATGCATTGTGGTTGATATGCCGTAAAACAAACCAAACCAAACCAACCCAATTAAACATAGGTCTTGCGGCCTGGCATCCAAAAGCATTTTATCATATTGAGGTCTTCAGTTAGTATACGTCAAGAGATTATTATCCATCGCCAGCTTGTTAGGTTTCTCGTGTATTTTACAGCACCTGTTATTCCTTAATATTTACCCATCTGAGGACTGACCTGGCTTAACTTGCAGAATCGGCTTTCCAATATGAAAAAGGCCGAAAGTAGCTACTTAAATATGGGATATATACATTTGACGCTATAATTTAATTTTCGTTAGTCACTACGCTCTGCTGATCAGCTAATTTCATTGTTATTCTTTGCGGCTAGTATTTTTGTTTCAAGTGCAATGTTCGAAAATCTGACCTTTACAAAAGGCAAAAATCTACGAACAATTTTTCACGTTATCTTTCACTTTGAAACTCAACAGCAGACACGGAAATACTGCACCGAAGAAAGAAAAGCCGGTTGAATGAACTGCATTTCTTAATGCAACTCGATTCGATAAAGCCGAACAGCAAAATAAAAACTGAAAATTGAAGACATGAACTATTAACCTAGCAAAAAGAAAAGAACAAATTAAAGAACGGGGTAATTGATTTCATCAATTTCTGATTGCTTCGTAGATTGGAATGGACAAAAAACCTGAAAACTGTTCACGCTAAATGTCAACTAAAATAACCAACATATGGAGATAAAATTAAGAAGACAAAAACAATAACTTTCTGGCTTCGATAACAAAATAATGCTTACTGTTTTTATGAGTGTCGATATTATTATTATTAGCAGTAGTAATAGTGGTAGTAGTAGTAACACTAGTATTCCTTCTTTTACATGGTTTTCGTTTTTGACCGGATATGTTGCACTATGTGAGATCTCTATCAAGTTGTTCGACCTCATACGATTAACACTTTCCACAGACTATAGATCCGTTGTGTTATTATGGCGGCGGTAGTAAGAATGGTAAGTAAGAATGTTGTTTTGATCTAAGGAAAACCGTGGTATGTGTAGGTCAGTAATCGTAGCTAGCTAAGTTTAAGATAAGACAGACGGCAAACCGGACCTTCCCAATCCCCTCTTTTGGCCTTGTGCCACACTTCTGTATTAAAACAAAATAAATTTTACTTTCCGCAGAATATCTGCAGTGCCAAACATCTCAGAAATCTGAAACAATGGCAAACTAGGCGTAATTCCGATATTCTCAATCTCGGATTTAAGTTCAGTGGTGTAGACCCCCCCCTCCCAATGATAACTATGGCAGTAACATCTAACATTCCGATGACTTCAATCCATTGGTCAATGTATTTAATGAGATTTCATTTTTTTTTACCTTGATACTAGCAGCATGACCCGGTATTGCCCGTGCTTG